AAGAATGGAAGGAAAAAATGGTGAGGATATGGGAAAAAAAAAGCACACATCCATGGTCAGAATGCAAGTTGGTGCAGCCTCTATAGAAATGGTATGGAGCTTTTTTCAGAAAATACAAAAAATGAAAATCCCATATGATCATTGCACATCTCCATCAGGCATTTACCCTGGATATGAAATCTCTAATACAAAAAGACTTATGCAACTGTATACTCACAGCAGTGCTGGCCACAAGTGCCAGTCATGGAACCAACCTAAGTGCCCATCGACAAATCGGTAAAGAAATTGTAGATTACATGTGCTCAGTGGAATACTACACACTGCAACGTGGATGGCCTCAAGGTGGTGATGGTAAGTGAAATAAGCCATACAATGAAAGGCAGATACTAGGCGGTTTTACTCATCTCTGGAATATAGAAACCAAAAAGCATTAACTGGTAAAATACAGCCAAAAAAAAAATCTTTGAACTAAGGGACAATAGTTAACTCATAATGAGAGAGACCAAGGGGATGGAGGTGTGAAAGGGTGGAGGGGCTATGGCAAATATGGGTGGTTTGGTGGATGGTGGTGGAATATGGGCACATGTGGAGGGGTAAAATTATATATGACAATTATGTAATATTTTTAAATTAAAAATGGCTCTATCACAGTATTTCCCAATTCCATAGTGCACATATGCCCATTATAGCGGACTAAAATCTACCACCATGTCATTGTAGAGTTGGGAAAAGCTGTAAATCATCAACTTGAAGATGAGGCAAGCAGCTCAACCCCTCACCACATAACATAAGTCCACTGGGAGCAGATCAAAAAGCTAGATCTGTGTCTTCATAACATAACAGACAAAATACATATCAGACACTGACATATCTCAAGTGGAAGGCAACCCACATTTGCAATTGTGTGAAATATTTTTATAAGATTTTGCACATAACTTGTCAGAGATAAAAAAAAGCAGAATAAAGTAATGAGGATAAAGAATATTTAACAAACCAAGTTACCAAATTTGACCAAGTCGATGCATTAACATCATTGACAGGAGAAGGCATGTTCTTTCCAAGTTACATGGAGTTATCAACCCTCTCACACAATCTTAGGAGATACATCTCATGGTGTTCATGACTAAAATCAGATGATTTACAGGTCGTCATTTGAAGGTGATCTTATTGAGAAAAGTCTCTAAGGCCTGTTTTATATCTCTATTCCTCAGGCTGTAGATGAAGGGGTTCAGCATGGGGGTGACGACCATGTACATCACAGAGGCGATCATGTTTTTGTCTCTGGAGGTGGATGATGAGGAGAAGTAAACTCCTGCAGCTGTCCCATAGTATAAAGACACAACAAGAAGGTGGGAGCCACAGGTAGAAAAGGCTTTAAAGATACTTTTAGTGGAGGGGACCTGCAGGACAGTCTTCCCTATACGGACATAGGAGCCCAGAATGCCACCCAAAGATAGGGAAAAGACCACTCCTCCCTCAGTGAAGATGACAAACTCATTGAGGGACACGTCTGAGCAGCCCATCTTCAGGAGTGCAGGGAGGTCACAGAAGAAGTTGGGGATGGTATTGTCAGCACAGAAGGACACTTGGATCAAGAGCAGGGTGTGCAATAGAGCGTGGATAAGGGAAAAGAACCAGCACACAGCTACTAAGGAGACACACAGCTCCTGCCTCATGATGGTGGTGTAGTGGAGGGGCTGACAGATGGCCACGTACCTGTCATAGGCCATCACTGCAAGAAGAAAACTGTCAAGACCGGCAAAGAACATAAAGAAATACACCTGGGAAATACATCCCCTATAGGAGATGGACAGCTTCTGAGTGTGCATGTTCGTGAGCATCTTTGGGACAGTGACAGATGAGAAGGAGACATCAGCGAAGGCCAAGTGGCTGAGGAAGAAGTACATGGGGGTGTGGAGGCGGGAGTCCAGCCTGATGAGCAGGATGATGAGTAGGTTCCCCAGCACCGTGGTCAGATACATGCCCAGGGACAGGGCGAAGAACAGGCTCCGCTGCTCTGGACGCATGGGGAGCCCCAGGAGGAGGAACTCGGACACGCTGCTCTGGTTCTCCCACCTCATGCTGCTCATGTCTCTGCCGGGGATGAAGGAAAGAAGGAGAGGTAGGAAGTCTAGAATTATCTGCAATGACTTGGCAAGATTCTTTTTACACGAAGGCATGATTTTTAAAGCATGATCTGTTTATTGCTCACATCTGTGGATGTGTGGCTCCTTCTGTCACAGCAGGCTCTGAGGGTACTAAGACCTCACGATACCCTACAAAGCTTTCCTTCCGCAGAACCAGAGGACATTTTTCTCTATTCACAAACATGTGTTGAACAACTGCCTTGGTCCAGGCCCCGCACAAAGCACTGAGTCCATAACAGCAAGCAGGAAATGCAGCCTCTGCTTTCAAGGAGTTTCCATTTTTCTATCATTGCCAAGGTCACATGACAGAAACTGGCACGCATGGCAAAGTTATGAGCTGGGCAGCAGGAGAGAATCCATAACTTCCTCTTAAAGAGACCTGAAACTCTCTAAATGGAAAAGAATACCTGGTGATTTCTCACAAGCTAGAGTGAAATTGGCAGGATGCAACTGATCAGAGATATTGCTATTCCCTGTCAACAAAAGTCCATTCAGGATCTTAAACTCTAATAAAAATGTCCAATCTTTGTCTGTAACCTATAGCATGCCAGGCCCTATCCTAAGGTTTCATATGTGCTTTCTACTAAATCCTAGGCATCGCCCTAATAAAGCAATAGTGTAAATCATATTTTTTAACAATGAGGAACAAAATATACATTAGCTACATGTGCAAAGATACATCAATAATCAGCAAAAAATAGGCCAAATCAGAATATATCTCTATGGACAGAATCCACCATTAAACTCTGCAAACATCTCACTTCCCCAGTAGACAGAATAAATATAAATACAATATAAATCTAGAGATTATATGATATATAAGGTAATTATACCCTTCATTTCATAGATGGGAAAACAATCCGGACAAAGATATAAAGGTCAACGAGGTCTCTAAGTTCTCTGATGGTGGATTCCAGACTCCCCCTTCCTTTTGCAGTTAGATTGGAGTTACGATTAGACACACACACACACACACACACACACACACTGAAGAGGGATCCTTACTGAATCAATCAAGCAGGGAGCAGGACAGCGAGACCTACTCAGGGACCATGAACTTGCTGAGGGCTCTGCTTATCTTGGTTCACGGCCACCAACTGGACAGTGTCTGGCGCCGCATGTGGAGGCCTGGCTGCCCACTCTGGTTCTCCCTGAGAACAGAGGAAAGGTTCTTGGCCTCACTGAGAACCAGAGAAAACAAGCAGGGACCAACTGGACCAAATGGGACCTTGACTGGGGCAGGGCTTGTGAGGAAGGTTCTGGGTCCCGAGCCCTGGATGGATCAGGCCGTGTGCTGCAGTGTGTGAGGGGTGTGCAGGGGCCCCCATTCTTAGGCTTCTACTCCCCCTGCCCCAGATAGCAGCGAAGTGGGGGTCTCCATCACACTGGCACTGGTTTGGGGAAAGAGAATAAAAATCCTCCTCTCTTCTGAGCACCCATCATGAGAAAGACAAGGACCTGGGTAGTCTGTTTGCATTGTCCCATTACTTCTCAGGATAGCACTGTATGTGGGAGTAGTTACCCTCTTTTTCCAGACGGGATCTGAATGTCAGAGAGCAAACCTAAGGGCTAGATGAGGACTGCACCACAATGGACATGCTGCAGGCACTGTGGTCCCATCCGTCAGTATGTGACACTTGCCCAATGGGAGACCTGAGTGACCTGAGTGGTCAATGCAGAGCATGACCACTGTGAATGGCCACTAGAGGGTCAGTGAAGAATGCACGTGAGCCCCATGCCATCGACACTGCCCCACAGAAACACTGCTGATAATGGAAACATCAAAACACAACCACACACACTAAACCTTGGAGTGACATGCATATGTCAGTTTTGTCATAAACAAAAAGCCACATCACACCTACTACTTGACTCTGTAACATTTTCAGATCCTTCCCCTGCTGCTCAGGGATAAAGGCAGGATCCCTGCTCCAGGGTGGGGAGCACATCTTCTTTCTTTACCCTCTGCAGTCTCTTTCCTTACCTGTGCTGAGTAGCCAGAGATGAACATGTGGGAGTCATGCAGCAGGGAGGGCAGGTGTTTGAGATCAAAGGACTGGTTAAGAGACTGCAGGTGACACCCAGCAGTGGTGCCCACTTGCCTATTGGGGACCCAGTAGGTGCTTGAGCTCTGGGACGAAGAGAGGAAAAGAATCACCTCGTGTCATTTACCCCTCTCTGTCTCTTGTCTCTCTGTGTCTCTTCCTATTGTCTTTTCAATCTCCGTCTCTCAGTCTATGTATGTATAAATATGTATGTACATACAAAATTCTGGCAGGAGACATATTTGTATCTACATTACAAGCAAAGACCCATAAAGAATCCATAGGAAGAAATATATTTTTTTTTCTCTTAGAATTTACAGCACAGTCTGACCTGCCATTTTTGCTACGTCAATGACCTTCTAACACAGTGTTTGTGTCCTCAGCTTCTGTATTGGACACCAGGCAAAAAGCATGAGGCAAATCTCTGTGAGTCTATGATCTCCTGACTTTTTGTGTCTGCCCTTGAACTTCAAAATAATAGCCAGGAAGATGCCATTTTATAAACCATGAGAGGACAAAGAAATAGTCCCTAAACTCTTGGTGAAAAAAATGCCAGTAGTTAATTGCTGCAGTTCCTATCAGACCTTGGGGAGGAGCCTGTGCAGAGGCCAAAGAGACCAAACTGGGGAACCACCTGGGAGGGTGTCTTGGGTACAGGGACACTCTGGGTTGCCCAGAGATCCAGTTGGGAAGCAGAATCTTCTAACCCCCATCTTCTAAGAGTTACATGGAGTTATCAACCCTCTCAGATAATCTTAGGAGATATATCTCATGGTGTTCATGATAAAATCAGATGATTTACAGGTTGTCACTTGTAGCTAATCTTATTGAGAAAAGTCTCTAAGGCCTGTTTTATATTTCTATTCCTCAGGCTGTAGATGAAGGGGTTCAGCATGGGGGTGACGACCATGTACATCACAGAGGCGATCATGTCTTTGTCTCTGGAGGTGGATGATGAGGAGAAGTAAACTCCTGCAGTGGTCCCATAGTATAAAGACACAACAAGAAGGTGAGAGCCACAGGTAGAGAAAGCTTTGAAGAGACTTTTGGTGGAAGGGACCCTCAGGACAGTGGTCCCTATATGGACATAGGAGCCCAGGATGCCACCCAAACAAAGGGAAAAGACCACTCCTCCCTCAGTGAAGATGACCAACTCACTGAGGGACACCTCTGAGCAGCCCATCTTCAGGAGTGCAGGGAGGTCACAGAAGAAGTGGGGGATGGTATTGTCACCACAGAAGGACACTTGGATCAAGAGCAGAGTGTGCAACAGAGAGTGGATAAAGGAAAAGAACCAGGATGCAGCAACTAAGGAGACACACAGCTCCTGCCTCATGATGGTGGTGTAGTGGCGGGGCTGACAGATGGCCATCACTGCAAGAAGGAAACTATCAAGACAAGCAAAGAACAAAAGGAAATACACCTGGGAAATACATCCCCTATAGGAGATGGATACTTGCTGAGTGTGCATGTTTGTGAGCATCTTAGGGACAGTGACAGATGGGAAAGAGACATCAACGAAGGCCAAGTGGCTGAGGAAGAAGTACATGGGGGTGTGGAGGCACGAGTCCAGCCTGATGAGAAGGATGATGAGCAGGTTCCCCAGCACCGTGGTCAGGTACATGCCCAGGAACAGGGATGGATGGGGAGCCCCAGGAGGAGGAAGTCGGACACGCTGCTCTGGTTCTCCCAACTCATGCTGCTTTACTGTCTTCTGGGGTAGAGGGAAGTAGGAGATGTCAGGATCTTAGAAACAGTGACACAGCAGTGATAGATGGTCACATAGCATGTGAGTGACAGTGTCTGTGCCGACACACCTCGATGCTCTCACCTGCTCTCACCTGCTGGGGCCTCTTCCAGCCTGGACACTGATGCTGTCGTGGACAAATATGTGACCCAAAGCCTCTCAATGCTAATTAGGGTTAGTGTATCTTTTTTAACAAGTGTTAAAAAGTGTTCTTAGCTTCTGTTGTGGACACCAGGCAAAAAGTATGAAGCAAATCTCTGAGTCTATGACCTCCTGACTTTTCTGTGTCGGTCCTTGAACGTCAGAGCAATAGCCAGGAGGATGCCATTTTGGTGCCGGCCATGCTACTCATGCCGTCTGACAAAGGTCCGGGCATGGGGAAGATTTCTGAAAAGTCAGAAAACTCCATAGCTGGCTCCTGCTGCTTCCTTTCATTTGTTTGTGGCAGTTATTGAAACCCTGGAAATTTTCTATAAGCTTAGAATATCACAATGAGTGTTGGCTTCAATGCCAGTTTCGGTAATGCACACCTCAGTCGTTTGAAAAAATGTACCTTCCAACATGATTGATAATGAAATGGTTTCCAATAATTCTCCATGTCCTCCAATTTGTAACAAACCACACTTAATAGAACTGAGCCCGGTAAAAGTTCCCTCTAGAGAAGGCCCTGAGGCGCCCTGGGAGGTGAAATGGTCCGCGAAAAACACACCACATGCTGTTCTCATGGCACCGGGACCCCTTGGTTCTATATAGAAAAGAGAAGGCCGCCCTCAATTTTACAATGCCCGCTTAGCCTTGTTTCAGTTACCTAGCTTGACTGCTTGGATCACATTGTGTGTCGCACTTGTTTCTACTTTCTGAATAACATATATCACCGAGGAAAATATGTAGCCATGTAAATGTAACCAAGCAACCAAGTTAATCATATACTGGGAAAATTAGAAAAAGGACTGTGCACTGTTAATGATCATTAATAATTTCTGAAACAATGGAAAAGTGAAATCACATGATTGCATGATGTAATGATCACATAAAGAATTTCTGATGTATAAATAAAGGCCCGCTGAGACCCTCAGCAGGAGATACTTGCACCAGAGATAATGTCTGTGTCTACCTCACTCCACTTCCCCTCAGACCCCCAAGTTTTCGCCAACATCATCCTCTCCTTTCAGGGACTCCTGACATGACACTCTGCTGGAGCGGGTCTCCAGCACCATTTTATAAACTACGAAAGGACAAAGAAATGGTCCCTAAACTCTTGGTGAAAATATGCCAGCAATTAATTGCCTGTAATTCCTATCAGGCCTTGGAGAGAAGCTTGTGCAAGGCCAAAGAGACTAAGCTGGGAACTACCTGGAATGGTGTCTTGGGTACAGGGACACTCTGGGTTGCCCATAGATCCAGTTGGGAAGCAGGATGACTTAGTCATCTTCCAATACCCATGTAGCCAATGCCCTGGTCAGAGAGCACGGGATGCCGGCTCTGCCTGTCATTCATTGTTGGCTCTGAACACGTAACTTCTCTCAACTTGCTTCAACCTTGTTTCATGTAAAGTGCAGATAATCAGTGTACCATCAGTATGAAGTTTTTATTAAAGTTATATTAGAACGCTCCTGCTAATGCACGTAAGAGCACCATGTCAGCTCTTATTACGTATATTCCAAGAAAGAAGTAAATATATGATCATTGATGTTGATATAGTATTGATATGAATGAATGACTCACTTAGTTGATTTATAATTTGAAAGGTCAGTTGCAGTTCCATATGCAAACAATAGGTTAGAAGAGATAAAAATGAAGAAAATCATCCCATTCACAATTACACAGAAAGAATAGAATACCTGGGAGTAAACTCAACAAAGGAGGGGAAGGATCCATGCAGTGAAAACTATAAGACGTTATTAAAAGAATTATGGATTGGGGCACAGCAGACCTCTCCTGTCTCACCTGTTGCTACTCTTAATAGTGTGGTTCAATAAATCTGCCTGTTCTGTTTTCCACATTGTCACTGATGAATTCTTTCACCCTTGTGCCTTGGGCCTACGCATGATTGTCCCCTACTCAAAAAAAAAATAAATAAATAAATATGGATTGGAAGAATCAACATACCAACACAGACATACTACCCAAGGAAATACATATATTCAATACAATCCTGGTGGAACGTCATAAACTGAAAGGCAGATATGGGTGGTTTTACTTATCTGCGAAATATAAATAAGCAAACAGCATAAACTGGTAACATACAGCAAAAAAACATCTTGAACTATGGGTGAAAATCATTTGTTATCAGAGAGAACAGGGGAGTGGGAGCAATGAGTGGAGGAGGGAGGCCAGGGCATTGGCACGGGTGGTGGGTGGATGGTGGTGCAATATGGGCACCTGTGGAAGAGTAAAAATATATAGAAACAATTTTAATAACATTTTATTTATTTTTTTATTCTTCTTTTTTTAACATTTATCATTTATCATTTATTTTTTTATTCTTTTTTTAACATTTATCATTTAAAAAATTTTTTTTGACAATATTTGCTTCCCTCCACCCCCTCAGATTGAGTCCCCTAGAATTTCCTTCCCCAAGGCACCCGTGCACCATCACCACAGTCCCCTGTGCTCCTCCCACCCTCCCTCTGCTCCCTCTCCCTCCTCCTCCCCTGCAGGATGTCTCTGGTTTATAAGTGTCTGGTTTTTTTTTTTTGTTGTTGATACACAATTATAATAACATTTTAAATGGAAAAGGGCCCTATCATAGTATTTCCCAATTCCATAGTGTAAGTATTTCCATAATAGCTGACTTCAATCTACCAACATGACATTGTGGAGTTGGGAAGAGCTGTGAACCATCAACTTGAAGATGAAGGAAGCCCGCTCAGCCCCCACCCCATGAAATCAGTCCACGGGGAGCAGATCATGAAGCTACATGTGTGTTTTCATAACATAACAGAAAAAATACATAGGTGACACTGACATATCTCAAAGTAGAAGGCAAAACACATTTGTAATGTGTGAAATATATTTATAAGATTTTGCACATAACTTGTAAGAGATGAAAAAAAGGCAGAAAAAAGAAATGAGGATAAAGAATGTTTAACAAACCAAGTCACCAAATCTGACCTAGTTGATGCATTAACATCTCTGATAGCAGAATGCATGATCTTTTCAAGTTACATGGAGTTATCAACCTTCTCACATAATTTTAGGAGATATAGCTCATGGTGTGTGTGACTAAAATCAGATGATTTACAGGTCACCACTTGAAGAAGTTAACCTTACTGACAAATGTCTCTAAGGCCTGTTTTATATCTCTATTCCTCAGGCTGTAGATGAAGGTGTTCAGCATGGGGGTGACGACCATGTACATCACAGAGGCGATCATGTCTTTGTCTCTGGAGGTGGATGATGACGAGAAGAAGTAAACTCCGGCAAGTGTCCCATAGCATAAAGACACAACAAGAAGGTGGGAACCACAGGTAGAGAAGGCTTTAAGGAAACTTTTAGTGGAGGGGACCCTCAGGATAGTAGTCCCTATATGGACTTAGGAGCCCAGGATGCCACCCGAAGACAAGGTAAAGAGCAATCCTCCCTCAGTGAAGACTGAGGGACTCATTGAGAGACACATCTGAGCAGCCTGTCTTCAGGAGTGCGGTAAGGTCACAGAAGAAGTTGGGTATGTTATTGTCACCACAGAAGGACACTTGGATCAAGAGCAGGGTGTGCAACAGAGAGTGGATAAGGGAAAAGAACCAGCACCCAGCTACTAAGGAGACACGCAGCTCCTGCCTCATGATGGTGGTGTAGTGCAGGGGCTGACAGATGGCCACGTACCTGTCAAAGGCCATTACTGCAAGAAGGAAAGTGTCAACACCAGCAAAGGCCACAAAGAAATACATCTGGGAAATACATCCACTGTAGGAGATGGATAGTTGCTGAGTGTGCATGTTTGTGAGCATCTTAGGGACAGTGACAGATGAGAAGGAGACATCAGAGAAGGCCAAGTGGCTGAGGAAGAAGTACATGGGGGTGTGGAGGCGCGAGTCCAGCCTGATGAGCAGGATGATGAGCAGGTTCCCCAGCACCGTGGTCAGGTACATGCCCAGGAACAGGGGGAAGAACAGGCCCTGCTGTTCTGGATGGATGGGGAGCCCCAGGAGGAGGAACTCGGATACGCTGCTCTGGTTCTCCCATCTCAAGCTGCTCACGTCTCTGCTGGTGATGAAGGAAAGAAGGAGAGGTAGGAAGTCTAGAATTATCTACAATGACTTGGCAATATCCTTTTTTTTTTTTTGAAAGATTTATTTATTTATTTATACAAGCACTGGGTACAGTCAGAAGCGCGAGAGGGTGAGAGAATTCACCAGAGCCAGACCGGGGAGCAGAGCAGGCAGACTGATGAAGTACACTGCTGAGGGGAGCAGCGGGAGGCAGGAGAGGTCTGCGCGCCATGCGGGACCCTCCTCTGGTGGCCGGGGAGCAGCCGGGGATCGAACCGGTGCTGCAGAGGCTGCAGGCAGCTTCGCAACCCAGCGCTCAACTGCTGCGCCACCAGGGAGGCCCTGCAATATCCTTTTTACATGAAGGCATGTAAAGACATTTTTAAAATATGATTTTTTTAATTTATTTTTTTAAAAAGATTTTTTTATTCATTTATGCAAGCACTGGGTACAGTCAGAAGCGCGGGAAGGTGAGAGAATTCACCAGAGCCAGAGCGGGGAACAGGGCAGACAGACTGACTAAGTACACTGCTGCAGGGAGCAGCGGGCGGCAGGAGAGGTCTGCGCGCCATGCAGGACCCTTGCTGGCGGCCAGGG